AGGGTCATGACGGGCTCCATGCTGAACATGGAGGCTGCTTAAGATTTTCTCTCTCCCTCTGCCCACCCCCCCAAATAATAATAGTAATAATAATAATAAATAAATCTGTGTTGACAATTTCAATTCTTCTAAGATACTGTTCCACCATCTTCTGGCCTCCATAGTTTCTAATGAAAAGTCTGTAGTCATTCCAACACTCTCTTGTATGTGACATGGTCTTCTGATTTGGCTGCTTTCATGAATTTTTCCTTATCTTTGGTTTTCAGCAGTTTGGCTGTGATGTACCTAGGTGTGGTTTCTTTGTATTTACCCTTTTTTTTTTTTTAAGATTTTATTTATTTATTTGAAAGGGAGAGATTGAGCGAGAGAGAGAGCATGAGCCGAGGGAGGGAGAGAAGCAGGCTCCCTGCTGAGCAGGGAGCCCGATGTGGGGCTCAATCCCAGGACCCTGGGATCATGACCTGAGCCAAAGGCAGACGCTTAACCGACTGAGCCACTCAGGCACCCCTGTATTTTCCCTTTTTGAAGTCTACTGAACTTCACAAATTTGTTTTCCTTTGGCCAAATTTGTGAAGTTTAGGGCTTTATTTCTTCAAGTCTTTTTCCTGCACCATTCTCTCTTCTTCTGTGATTCCAAATATGTAGAAGTTGGAGCTTTTGATATTATCCCACAGATCCTCGAAGTTCATTTTTTTTTCCAATCTTATCTCTGTTTTTCAGATGAAATACTTTCTATTGCCCCAACTGAAAATTTTTATCTTCGGTCATTGTCCATTTTGCTGTTAATCTCATCCAGTGACAAAATTTCATATATTGTACTTTCAACTTTGGTAATTTCCATTTGATAACTTTTGAATAGTTTCTATTTTTTTGCTGAAATTTCCTATCTTTTCACTTTTATGAGCATATTTTCTTACATCCTTTATGATTCTTTCTTCTTTCTTTTCTCTCTTTCTTTGAAATGGTTCTTTTTTTAATTTTATTTATTATTTTTTAATATCTCCATGGTAAGGATTTTTATTTATTTTTTTATTATTAACATATAATGTATTATTTGTTTCAGGGGTACAGGTCTGTGATTCAACAGTCTTACACAATTCACAGTGCTTACCATAGCACATACCCTCCCCAATGTCTATCACCCAGACACCGCATCTTCCCCCACCTGCCTCCACTCCAGCAACCCTCAGTTCGTTTCCTGAGATTAAGAGTCTCTTAGGGTTTGTCTCCCTCTCTGGTTTTGTCTTGTTTCATTTTATCCTCTCTTCCCCTGTGATCCTCTGCCTTCTTTCTCAAATTCCTCATATCAGTGAGATCATATGATAATTGTCTTTCTCTGATTGACTTATTTCGCTTAGCATAATACCCTCTATCCATGTTGTTGCAAATGGCAAGATTTCATTTTTTGATGGCTGCATGATATTCCATTGTATATATATACCTTATCTTCTTTATCCATTCATCTGTTGATGGACATCTGGGCTCTTTCCACAGTTTGGCTATTGTGGACATTGCTGCTATAAACATCGGGGTGCACGTGCCCCTTCAGATAACTACGTTTGTATCATTGGAGTAAATACCCAGTAGTGCGATTGCTGGGCCATAGGGTAGCTCTATTTTCAACTTTTTGAGGAACCTCCATACTGTTTTCCAGAGTGGCTGCATCAGCTTGCATTCCCACCAACAGTGTAGGAGGGTTCCCCTTTCTGCGCATCCCCACCAACATCTGTCGTTTCCTGACTTGTTAATTTTAGCCATTCTGACTGGTGTGAGGTGGTATCTCATTGAGGTTTTGATTTGGATTTCCCAGATGCCGAGTGATGTTGAGCAATTTTTCATGTGTCTGTTGGTCATTTGGATGTCGTCTTTGCAGAAATGTCTGTTCATGTCTTCTGCCCATGAAATGGTTCTTTAAAAAAAAAAAAAAAAAGATTTTATTGTTTTAAGTAATCTTTACCCCCAACATGGGGTTTGAACTCACCACCTCAATATCAAGAGTTACATGCTCCACCAACTGAGCCAGCTGGGAGCCTCCCTTTATGTCTTTTTCATTCATGGTTATAGTCAGTGCTTTAAAAATCCTTGTTTGCCAGTTTCAACATCTGGTTCATCTAGAGGTCAGTTTCCATTGATTGTCTTTTTCTCTTGAGAAAGGGTCCCTTTTTCCTGTTTTTTTATAGTCAAGTAATTTTGGATGTATACCGCACATCGTAAGTTGCAAACTCTCTGGATTGTTATAATCTGAACAGTGTTAAATTTTTGTTGTTGATTTAGTGGGCTCCTAACTTGGCTGGAATCAAATGCAATCTTCTACTCCCTCCCCACCCTTACGGTAGGTTGCAATTGAAATCTCAATTCTGTTCCTTTAGCCTTAGCTGAGCTGTTTGGAGTCTGACTGGGAATGTATACATGGTTCGGAAGTCAGCTAGATATTTGGGAAGTTTTTTTTACACAGAATTTGAAGCAACTCCTCTCTCTACCCTTTCTGGAATTTCTACTCCTACTTTCCAGCAGATATTTTTTTTTAAAGATTTTATTTATTTATTTGACAGAGAGAGACAGTGAGAGCAGGAACACAAGCAGGGGGAGCGGCAGAGGGAGAAGCAGGTTTCCGGCTGAGCAGGGAGCCCGATGCGGGGCTCGAACCCAGGACCCTGGGATCATGACCTGAGCCGAAGGCAGATGCTCAATGACTGAGTCACCCAGGCGCCCCACCAGCAGATATTATTACCCCAAATTCTGTCCTCTGGTTATTCACGGCCAGTAAAACTTTGCATTTTTTAAGGGTTTTGGTCGCCCTGTGCAGTAGTGATTGAGACTTGCCCTCAGGCTAAACCCATGAGCTAAGGACTCACCAGCGGTATTCTTGTCTTTCATGTGTTGATTCCCTTCTAGTATCTACTAGCTCTGGTCACTCTTCAGTGCCTTTAGGTAGTCGTTTTTTGTCTTTTGTTTTTTGGGGGATCCCCCCCCGCCAGGGTTGTTAGTTATTATCTGTGTGGAGTTGGTCTGATAGGAACTACTCAGTGATACTGGAAGTTGAAATCCTGCTTTGTCTCACTTAAATGAACAATGCAAATGGTCCCATCTGAGAGATGGTAAAGCTGAGACCAGGCTAGGAAATGAGGTCACCAGTGCGTTTCGAAATGGTAAGAGAGAGCAATCAGCTATGATAAAAAAAAAAAAAAAAAAAATTGGGTTTGGAATTTTTTAAAAAGATTTATTTATCAGGGCGCCTGGGTGGCTCAGTCGTTAAGCGTCTGCCTTCGGCTCAGGTCATGATCCCAGGGTCCTGGGATCGAGCCCCGCATCCCACTCCCTGCTCCGCGGGAAGCCTGCTTCTCCCTCTCCCACTCCCCCTGCTTGTGTTCCTTCTCTCGCTGTCCTTCCCTCTGTCAAATAAATAAATAAATATCTTAAAAAAAATTATCATGGGTGCCTGGGTGGCTCAGTCATTAAGCGTCTGCCTTCGGCTCAGGTCATGACCCCAGGGTCCTGGGATCGAGCCCCGCATCGGGCTCCCTGCTCGGCGGGAAGCCTGCTTCTCCCTCTCCCACTCCCCCTGCTTGTGTTCCCTCTCTCACTGTGTCTCTCTCTGTCAAATAAATAAATAAAATCTTTAAAAAAAAGATTTATTTATCTATTTGGGAGAGAGAGAGAGCATGCATGGGAGGGGCAGAGGGAGAGGGAGAGAGAATCTCAAGCAGATTCCACACTGAGCTCAGAGCCCAATGCAGGGCCAGATCTCACGACCCTGAGATCATGAACGGAGTGGAAACCAAGAATTGGATGCTCAATGGACTGCATCACCCAGGTACCCCTGGGTTGGGATTTTTTTAGAGTGGAATCCTGAAATAGACTGGCTTCTAGGCAAGCCTCTGTTTTGTGCATTAGTAAATCAGGGATGATTATTCACATATAGTCAGTGTTCACTAAGTGCTTACTAGGTCCAGCACTAAGCCCTTTCAATGCATTATCTTTTTTAATCCTCAAGACAGCTTAATGAGGTTGGATTACTTTCGTTGGGAGATTTTGCTAAGGAGGGGACTAAGGTTTAGTGAGGTTAAGCCCAAGATGACAGTCGTGTGCATGACTAATCAATAATAATAATGGCTCGGGCGCCTGGGTGGCTCAGTTGGTTGTTAAGTGACTGCCTTCGGCTCAGGTCATGATCCTGGAGTCCGGGGATCGAGTCCCACATCGGGCTCCCTGCTCGGCGGGGAGTCTGTTTCTGCCTCTGACCCTCCCCCCTCTCATGTGCTCTCTCTCTCTCTCATTCTCGCTCTCTCAAATAAATAAATAAAATCTTTAAAAAAAAAATAATAATGGCTCATATTTATTGAACTGTTATCATGTTGTAGATAATGTGCTAGGTGCCCTGCATACATTATCTCATTTAATTCTTTCAACAACTCTGTGAGGTCAGGCCTGTTATTATCACTCCATCTAACTCCGGGAGGTCAGGTTGATTAACATCATCTAACATTTTCAGGTGGAGGAATGGGGGCTGGAAAGAGGCTGAGCAAGTTGCTCAAGTTCACATAATTAGCAAGCAGCGCTGGGATTTGAACCCCAGCAGATTCGCTCCAAAGCCAATTGTTTAACCTCTACGTCCCAACTGCCTTCTTGCTGTGATAAAACATCTGAAAAGGACCATCACTGTGTAAGTTCCCAGAGAGGCAAGTTCGCTTCCTGTTTAGTGAATATCAGACTGGATCAAATGGAACCCACAGGCTCTGGGCTTCTCTGACACAGGCACGTGGGCGGTCCCAGCCAGTATCGGTGGGGTCCGAATCAGCCCGAGCACTCATTTCCAACCATACCTCAGGCACCCCAGCCTACAACGCAAATGAGGAAACCTGCCTAAGCAGGAATTAACAGCACCCAACTGCAGAGGTTCCCTCATCCTGTTTTTCACTTCGTGTTTTGGATGCTGTAGGCTGGGTGAGCAGAGATCCTAGGCTTTGGCCCAGGCAGCTAGCCTGCCTCTGAGCCCTGCCATGAACCACTTCCAGACCATCCTGACTCGGGTCCGGATGCTGCTGTCCAGCCATCGGCCGAGTCAAGTGCAGGCCCTCCTGGACCACATGCTGGAGAAGGAGCTTCTGTCCCGGGAGTACCACTTCGCCCTGCTCTGCGAGCCTGATGGCGAGGCCCTGGCCAGGAAGATCTCCTTGACCCTGCTGGAGAAAGGAGACCCAGACTTGGCCCTCTTGAGGTGGGCATGGAGTGGGTTGCAGGTCCCAGTGGCCGAGAGGAATCCCGACTCCAAGGACCACGGTGGTAAGTTGGCATCCCCTTCGCCCAAGTAGCAAGGATTGGCCGTAGGCAGCACACGGGTTTTCCCTCCTCTCTGAAAGGAGAGTCAGTGTGCTCATCCCCATTCCCAGATGGGAAGGTGGAGCTGGACAGGAGTCAGGGCATGTGGTTGATCTGGCAGGAGCAGCAAGCGCTTGGACGACTTGGTCTGTGATGCTGGGTGTGCACATACAGCACGCTTCCCACTCAGCTTAAGAAAAGACCATCCCGGAGGCATGCCATCAAATGCCTGCTTCATTTACACTCTGAGCGGCCTTGATGTGTCAGGCACTGTGCTGGGCACCGGCTGGGGGCTACGGATCAGCTCCTGCCTGCAAGGGGCTCACGGTCCAGTAGGGAAGACAGCTGCAGGACTCGGTGGGGTTCAAATGTGGAGAGAAGAGGTACCAGAGAGAGGACGGGCCACGAAGCTGGAGAGCAGAGGATGCTGTGTGTGCACGCATGCGTGTGCATTCTGTGTCAGTGAGAGACAGAAATCAAAAGGCAGGGTGAGAGAAGAGAGAGAGAGAGAGAGAGAGAGGGAGACCAAGACAGGAAGAGAGAGAAAGAGAGGGAGACCGAGACAGAGAACAGGAACCCGATCAGAGAAAAGAGAGGAAGAGTGTCTTACTTTTAGAGTATTGACGACACTTGACACATCTTAAATTGGAAAAACAAGCCTACACCATGTTGCTTCCACCCACATCCCTGGCCCCGCAGACCGTGTGGGTCTTTCTTCCCTGTTGCGAAGAGGTTCCCGCTTTGTTGCCAACAACGTTCTTCCTAAAGATGCGTGTCTGTTCTGCCTCCTGCTCTATCCAGATCTAGGCTTTTCCAACTTGAGGACACGGCACTCATGGCCCCTCTATGGTTTCACAGTCACTTCAACTGGGAGAGGATCACAGTGATTGATATTTATTGGGCATTGACCACATGCCAGGCCCCGCCTCAGCGCATGGCAGCGCTCTTAGTTCTGACCTAACGAAGAAAGCACAGACCACCCAGAGGTGACCCCCCCCCCCACCGGGTTCTCCAGGTGGGAAGTAGTGAAGGCTGGATTTGAAGGCAGACAAACTTAATCCTCAGAGTAAAAAGGAGCAAAAAGCCTTCCGATGGTTTTGACTGGGGCACCAGGGGGCGTACACATTTCTCCCGCTCTTCTGCGGACACATGAACTTACAAGGGGTCGGTTTTCCTCGTGGTTCACTTCTTGCCCAGATGGTCTCTGTTGGTTCCTTGGACTTGTCTCTTACTCTTTCCCTTCCCCACCTGAATGATCTCCCTGATTTCTTCATGGGGGTGCAAGCAGCCTGTGTGGTCTTGAGGGCGGTTAGCCCCCACCCCGGGATGGCGGGTGTGAGTCAACCCCGTCCGCCTTCCTTGCAAACTGCACGCCCCTTTCTCTTTTATGTGAGGCTGCCTGACACCTCGGCACCCCCCTCCTCTGTCCGCTGGTTCCTGTTATTTAACTCTGTTTCCTCCCTGGGGATGTCATATTTTTATTTCTGAGCCCATGTGACTCAAGAAAGGGAACTGGGCTCAGAATGATGTGGTCTTAAGGGGGCTGGGAGACAGAGAAGGGCAGGGTGCCTCCTTTCCCAGCCCTTTCTTCCTGTCCTCCAGCTCAGCCCCCCATCAGGGCTGCCGGGTGTGTGGCTGCGGTGGAAGTTGGAGGGAGCAGCCTTTGGAGGGGAAGAGGGAGAAGGGGAAAGAGAATTGTGTGCTTTGTAAAGAAAGGGCCCTGACTCTGGTTTCAGTGGGGGTTCAGAAGAGGAAATCGTCATGTGAAGGTTTTGTAACTCTCTCCACAACCCTTAACGATCTTCACCCTCCACTGGTCTAAACCCTGTGCTGGCTCCCCATCACTCCAAGGAAAAGCCAAATCCGGACGGTGGCCCACAAGGCTCATCACAGTCTGGCTCTCATCGCGGCTCTGCTCTCAACCCCTACTTCTGCTCACCTCCTCCAGCCATACTGGCACCCCGCTGTCCCTGGGACAGGCGTGGCATGCTCTCTACCACAGGACCTTGGCACATGCTGTTCCTACTACCTGGAACATTCTTCTCCACATATCCTCTTGGAGGATGCCTCCTAAGCTCTTCGCTCAGATTTCACCTTCTCAACAAGGCCTACCCCGAGCATCCCCTTTAGCATGGCAGGTCCCCGCGCCTGGGTGGCTCGATCACTTAAGCATCTGCCTTCAGCTCAGGTCTGGTCCCGGGGTCCTGGGGTCCCAAGATCAAGTCCTGCATCGGGTTCCTCGCTCAGCAGGGAGCCTGCTTCTCCCTCTGCCTGTCACTCCCCCTGCTTGTGCTCTCTCTCTCTGACAAGCAAATAAATAAAGTAAAAAAAAAAAAAAAAATTGCAGGTCCCCGTCCACACTCTGAGCCCCCTCCCTAAACTGACATTTTCACCTTCTATATATTTTACTTTTGTATTATGTTTGTTGTTCATTGTCTGACTCCCCCACTAGAAAATAAGCTCCACGTGGGCAGGGATCTGTATTTTGATCATACCCTATCCTAAATGCCTAGCACAGTGCCTGGCACTAGGTAGGTGTGTAATGTAGATTTGTTGAATGTTGGGTGGTTGAATGGAGAGATGGAGGGATGGATGGATGAGTGGGTCGGTGGATGGATGGGAGATGGATTGGGTGGGTGGATGGCTCAGGTACTACCATTATTCTCACTTTACAGAATGGTAAACTGAGGCACAGAGCGGTTAAGAGATGGCCTGGGGTGAGGGCTAATGGACGTCACAAGGCCGGATCTACCGCTGCACTTTCTGCTTGGCTGCCTCTCCTAAACAACCCAAGGGATACCGTAAATCTACCCATAACAGGTTGACTATCTTCAAACTGAAACCAGGGTCTGAAACTTCTAACTGATTCAGAAGTCACCTTCCACTACCACGGTGCCTTGGTGCATTGTGCAGAAAGCCTACTTCTGGGGCTTTGACCTTGGGTGTCTGATTCTGCTACAGGAGACAGCACGGGTGCATCCAACCCCAGGCAAGCTCGGGGGGCAGGGGGAGGCGCGAGAGCCAAGGTCCTTGTCCTGACACAACTCAGCAGCTTCCCTGGGGAAACAAAGCAAACGCTCGGGGCATTCTTTGGTGACAATGGGTCACAACGCGTGGCAGGCAGTCTGGGGACAGAGAAGAGACAGTGAAGATGACAGTGATGGAGAAAGCCCAGGCTGGACACTGGAGACCTCTGGGTCTGAGGCCACGCTCTGATTCTTACAAACCGTGTGAACTCGGCCACATGACTGGACCACTCTGACCCTCTGTTTCTTCATCTTGAAAATGAGAGCAATGATATAAAGCCCCCAGGGCTATAGTGAGGGTGAAATTAAATGAGATGGTAGCTGGAAACTGTCTAAGGCAGTGCTTGGCATTGGATAGCTAAGTCTCAAGGGGTCATAGCAGGGAGAATTGGACAAGGACGGATAAACCAGGGGTTTGAGGTTCAGAGAAAACAATTATGTCTACAGTCTCATGGGGGGCCGCACAGAATATCTAGACACCTATTCCATGTGAAACACAGCGCTGAGTGCTTGGGTGCTGTGTATATGTGAGAAGTGCATCAGTGTGCCCCCACCGTTGGGCTGGCACACGGTCTCAGCCCTCAGACTGCCTAAGTGCTGGTCCTCCCTAATTCCAAGGGGTGTGCCTGTGAGCACCTTCTGGAACCTCTCTGAGCCTCAGTTTTCCACATCTGTACAATGGAGGCAATGATAGTACCCAGGGTGGTGCTCTGAGGTTTCAGTGACCTCATCCAGTGTAGGGCACTTGCATTTCCGGCAAGAAGAGAGTGGATTCTGACCTATCAGCTCAGGGGTGGTGTTTGGGCAGCTACAGCCCCGGGGTGACAGCCGGCTTGGGTTTTTGAACAGAGGCTTTGCCCAGCGGTGCCTTTGGGCATGTGTTCTCAGAGGCCATAGGAACCTCCCCACTCCCCACTCCCCACTCCCCAGGGGTTTATATTTTTTTTTCCTTTGGCTTTCTTTTGTTCTTTGGTCACTCTATGCTTTCATGATGCGTTATATTTGCCCACGAGGACTCAGTTCTAGGAACCATAGAACAAAGTCTCCCTCCAGGATGTTGCCTGATTTATTGGAAAGGAAGGGACCTGCCCCAGGCTGCCAAACGTTTCCTCTGGCTTCCTTCCTCATTTGGCCCTTACCACGAGAGCCACCTGAGCCCGGACCTCGGAGAGGAGAGGCGCTGTGCCCTCCCACCCTCCTCTTTCCCTTCCCAAGACCTGTTTCTTCTCTGATCCTGGGGAGCCTACTCTGCCTTCTGGAAGGAGACGTGCTGGCAAGAATAACTGTTGTCCGTTCACCTTGGACGGCTTCCCCGCCAGCCAGACTCACTTCATCTTCACCCTTGGGAGCTGAAGAAAGAAAAGTGCCTGTATCTGGAAGTTGGCACTTCCCCATGGGTTTTCCCAGGCTGACCAGTGGCCCATTCCATACTCCACTTGGCTCCAAGCCTGGCGCCTGACCCAACCAGAGCTGGTCTCTGTTCTCTGTTGTCATTACCTGAAGCAGCTCACCTGTGTCCTTCCTTCGTACCTATTCATCTCTCTAGCTACCTGCCCAGCCACCTCCCTGCCTGCGCTCAAACTTACCTGGTCTACATAACCACCTACCAGTGTCTACTTATCAATCCATCAATTTATATCTGTTATCCACTTATACATACTTACCAATCTATTTATCTAACCATTTATAGTTTTATGTATCAACTTATTTACCTGCCTTCCTACCAACTCATCTGCTTGTGTATTTACCGACTAATAGGCCTGCATTCTCATGCACATTCCCTACCTGCCTAATTTGGATACATACCAGTTTTATTGTATCTATTCACCTACTTCTCTAGTCACCTTTCCCTTCCTTCCTTATACATCTTCCCTCCTCTTTTTTTTTTTTAAAGATTGTATTTATTTATTTGACAGAGAGAGAGAGAGAGAGCCCATAAGCAAGCAGAGTAGAAGGCAGAGGGAAAGGGAGAAGCAGGCTCCCCGCTGAGCAAGGAACCAGATGTGGGACTTGATCCCAGAACCCTGGGATCATGACCTGAGCCGAAGGCAGTGGCTTAACCGACTGAGCCACCCAGGCGCCCCTCTTCCCTCCTCTTTAATCATTGTCTTAGCACCTGCTAGGGATT